TTGTAAGTTCAGTTCTTTTGTTTTGGTTTGAATTTACTGTAATCGTAATGTAATTGACCTTTTTCAAATAGGTAAATAGGAAGCAAGGCTTTTCTTCAAGAAGTGGGAAATGAGGGCTTTAGCATTCCGAGATTTTTTTCAGCGGTCCTAAAATTTAGGAATCGACTTAGATAGCAACACTGAAGGACTTTTTTAAATGAACAGTAGCGTCACTGGTGTTGTTCTCGCCAAACAACTTTCGATAGGATTAACAGAATGGTTTCTTACCAGAATGTTTAATGTCATTTTTTTGACTGTTTCTGCTGAGAAAATTGGCTTAGTTTGCATTACTGGAGAAGACTGAAAGTGTTAAAGCCGAAAATTTAGTTGAGAAACTTTTGTTGTTAGGGTGGGTGGTTAGGGAAATGTGGTAGAAGGGTACAAAGGTTTGCTATTATTACGTCTGCTAAATATGATTTGTTAAAAAGTAGTACTTTTGTAGGCGAGAGTAGACGTCTGTTGAAGTTGTTGGTTTGGGGTAGCTGAAAAAAGCCTACGGGTAATCGATTAAAGACAGAAATATTTGTTTGCATAATTAGAGTTTATTTATTTAGTTTCTTTTTTCTCCACTTTGTCGCAGTCGGTGACTCAGAAACGATATATGTTGACATTCAGTCAAATAATGTATGTTAAACACAAGAATTTTTTTGTGCAATACAATTAGTATTGTTCAAAACGTTCTGGTACATTTATGGTTCAGCTAATCTAACAGTGGTTTAGTGAGAATACATTATGTTTAAAATGATGGCTGCGATTTCAACTATTATCGGGTTTCTGGTCTTTTGATCAGACAGTAGTTTTGAACAAATAACTCAACACATCTGGTTTTATGATTTAAGCCAAAAAGCTTTTAGCAAATCTTAGCTAAAGAAACAGATCGTACTTCTATTTTTATTCCTATTTCTTACCGATAATTGAAGTTCGACGAAGCAGTAAACAGATGTACTCTGTTGTTCTTGTGCTTAAGAAAGTCTCTGGAACAAAACAGGTGAAAAACGAAAACTGTATCTTTTTTTTTTTTTCTGTATAATTTGTCTTTATTGTTCATTTATTTTTTCTGTAAATATTGTTTTTATTATTGCACGAGTTATGCCAGAAATCTTTTGTTGTAAATTAGAGGCGTTAGAATTGTAGTAATTCAGTTAGTTGCAATAATTTTTGGAGACAATTTTCTTATTACTTTTTTTTGTTTTTGTTTTTTACATCATGTTTAGTTATTCGGGCTGAAATATAGCTTGTTTAGCCAAAAAAATTTCTAACACCTATCGCTTACTTTTTCGTTTTCTTGTTTTTTTTTTTTATTTGCCATATCAATTTGTTCGATTGTTTTTGTGTTCAAAAAACACGAATTTTTTACTATTAAATATTCTAGTAATGACGGTCATAAATAATTTTTGTGTAGTTAGTTAAAAATGAATTGATAATTGAAAACTTTATATTTTTTAAAGACTTTTTTATTTGCTGTCATAACAAAATCGATATAAATGGCTGTGTCAGTAACAGAAAAGCAGTATTACCAATGTAGCATCAACAACCTAAATTGGGCAACTTTTTTAAAACTTGGTGCATACAACCAGTATTGTGGTGCTGCTGTTGATGCAAAAAAAACTGGGAGAATTAAAATGCAAAGTGAAATTACAGAAAAAAAAAAAAAAGAAGGCAAGGAAGCACGAACACTAATTTGTTGAAAATTGAGAAAAATTTAGCCTTTTTTTTTTTTTTAGAAAATGACATTAACGACAAGTACTTTAATGGTAAATGTTACCCAATAGCAATATATTAACCGCAAAATTTATGTTTTTCTACCATACAAAGAATTTTAAAAATTAGTATTTTTTAATGCAAGTAGAAGAGCCGATAAAGTTTTCTGTCCAATAAATAATTTGTAAAGTAAAATAGTAAAAAAAAAAAAAAAAAGACAAAACTTTCACTTTTCAACTTGGTAGCAGCTAGACTAGTAGTTTTTTTTTTTTTACAACACTCTCTTGTTCAAGATTTTGGACAGTTATTTAATTGTAACGCAGAGACAATCAAACCTGATAACTTTTGGTTTTTTTTGACTGAAGCCTAGATTTGTTTGAATGATGAATGTTATTTTTCTGAAAGTAAATATTGAACAGAGAAATTACACAAATTTAAAATCATAACTTTTAATTAAAGTGGGTGACCAGATACAGATTTAGACTGGACCCAAAGTGGAAACAGATTTGCCAAAGATGCCTGGTGTTGAAATGAAAAGTACAACAGCGGGTGGAAAGTATAAAAAAATTGATTACGAAGTAGTGGATTCTACAATGTCTGCGGAACCCGAGGAATATGGTGCGCAATGGAGGCAGTTAAAGGTAGGAATTTCTTGCGAAAACTAAGGTTTCTTTGTTTCATGTTTGGAGAAACAGTAAATTTGTCAAAATCATTGGTTTCTTTATGAGTGGGTGCGTTTGTACGTGTATTTTTAAAAGTAATTGTAAATGGGTGTTTGAAGTGAATGACTGCAATACCGAAAAACTTGATGTTTCCTGTAGTGCGAAAAGTTTCCATCCTTACAGTGCACGAAAATTCAAGAGTAACGTGGGTTGTAACTTTGTAGGTTTTTTTTCTTTTGTATAAATCTTTGTTTAAGTAACCGTTGATGGGACGACTAGAAAAGTTAAAAGCATTTAGGAAAATTAAAGGTTAAGAAAATCAAAGTTAGCGGTTAAGTTTAATTGTGCAGTTATCTGTGTTGCTTTACGGGGAGTCAAATGACTGAGACTATTGGAATCTTTGTTTCAATAAGGGAGTCAGAAGAAAGCAACGGTAAGAAGTCATTTACATAAAGAACTTTGCTGTGATATATTGAAATTTTGATGACTTGGTGAGAACCGTTCAGAAACATGTTAACATTGGCAAAAGACCAAAGAACAAAAACTCTCTCGAAGAACGTTTTTGACTTTTGCATTGAAAACTTTTTTGACTTTTGCATATACTAGAAAATTTTGCTTATGATTTCTCTCTCCGGCGTCTTTGCCCAGTAGTTTCTAAATGTGGCTGTCAAAATTGCTTGGAAGTATCAAGTCAGGCAGCTTAGTTGATCGTATATAACGAACAGTGAAGCTCATGACATTTCTTAAAAATTATCTTAGGGCTAGAATGTCTGGATTTTGGTGATTTTTTTATCATGAAAGAGGTTTGATTTCAAAATGCATAACAGTATTACGCATAATGCAAGGTCAATGGTTATAGTAAAACATGGTGAAAAAGAATTTTAAGACAAACATTCATTACTCTTTTTAAACTGATAGTGACGTCATGAACAAGTGAGTTCTTTTTTATAATCTGTTTTGCTTGTAAAAATTTCTACCTTCAGCAGAATGTCTTGCTTATTTCATATAAAATCACCTTTCAGCGTCATTCAGTAGTCTTACGGTTTTGTAGTCTTGAAGGTATGTTAAATGTGTAATCGGGGAAACTGGTAATTAATCATACAGTGTGGTCCTGACAAGGTAGACAGTGTACCTTGTTCTTTTTTGCTGCAAGTAGACAAAAATTATGAGAAAAAAGATGAAAGATGCGGACCGCTGTTGTCGTCTACAAGCTCATCGACAACTGTTTATGAGAAGACGGTTTTGAAGGGATTTTTTGAAACGTAATATGAATATGTAGTCGATGTAAAACTTCTTGGTAGAGATATAGTTGTACTTGTAAAAGCAGAAAAGTATAAAAATGGTCAAAGAAGAGGTTAATACCGGAAATAACGTTTTACAATAATTTTTGTGAACTTGAAAGAAATGGGATTTTCAGGTAGGATTTTGCTGGAAATCAGCACCTCTCTAGATACAGGTGTAAGTCAAAAGAATTTGGACACTTGAATACGGTTTACACTGCCGCGCAGTGAAGGTTAAGAAAGCAAGTGAAAAGAATGCTATGGATTGTCTCTAAAAAAGCTTGCCTCATTGAAGGTACGTTTCTAAGTGCAGAAGCAATGGGGGAAGCAGTTTGTTAGTTTTTCAACTTAATTCTGCGGGAGACAGAATTGTGGATGTTTGTTTTACTGTAGAAGTTTTGACAAATTTTTCGTTCTTTCACAGTACATTACCGCTGCTTGTTTTTCACTTTTCCAGCACCAGTGATAAGCAACACAACAAGTGGTAGTGTCGTAGGATAGGTAAAGAAGTGCTAGTTAACTCTTAATTCGGGTCAGTCTTGACACTAGTTGTTTGAGGTTTTAATTACACTTGATGCAATGAGCAAGTCTGTAGAAATGATATCAGAAGCAACAACGTTCTTTTTTTTATTTTTGCTTTCAAATCAACCTGTTGCACTACGACAGTCCTTTTGGAAAAGACCGGTAGTAACGTCTCGATTCTGTGGAAAGAGAAAAAAATTTTTTTCTCTACAGGCTAAAAAAGGCACATTGCCGTCTCGTGATCAGTGTTTCCAAAAAATCAGATTCAGTTTCGTCTGCTTATGTTCGTCCTCTCTCATCTTTTGTACGGAACGGTTAATTTTTGATCTTTCCCACTCAAAATAGGCGCTTCCATCTATATATAACATCACATATCCTGCTTGATTTCTTTAACCTATGAATAAATTATCCAATCCTTTAGGTTCATATCTAGCTGAATTTAATTGTTTTTCTCTTTTATTTTGGTATTTAAAGAATCCATTAGTGCAGTAAGGAGTTTTTCAAATTTGTGATCAAAAAGAGGCTTAGGAAGAGTAATAATTGCTTTTACACGTGGACGGGTTTTGTGATGGAAGTTTTGCAGCTGCGTCTACAGTCATTCTGTTAGCTGTTTGGTGAAATGCACCAGACTGCAATTATTTTTTTTTTTTAACAAGTGAGTAAACACTGAATGGGTAGTTGAAGCATTTGACCCAAACACCGCGTTGTAGGAAGAAACTCAATGAACAGCTAACAGTTAGCAAAGCTTATTTTTTTAAATAATGAAGTATGGATGAAGTTATGACAATACCAAATAATGGAAGGACCTATCTCTTGTTTGCAGTTCAGTAAGTGCGTTCAGAATGTTACGCAGCTAGCTGTGCTTTCGCTACTGGAGGGCCTGGCTGCCTGTGCGATATGGCAAATGCATCAGGTCTAACCAGTGAGCGAGAAATCCACTGATTTCAGACAACGTCATTTTCACTTTTGCTTTTTTTTTATACTTCCGCAACGTTATTACCAACGAGCCTGTTAATTTCAGAAGCCAGAAAGCCCACCACCGGTAGCACCTAAACGGTACCAAAGCGCAAGCGGTCAAAATGAAGAAGTATTTTGCTCTTTTCTTTTTGTGGTTTATAGTTTGCAAGTTTATAGTTTTATTATTTTTTTGCTCTCAGAATTTTGAGTATACTTGTCAGTCACAACTGATCAGTTTAGATAACTGTCTACAAATATGAAGAAAAAACGGAACTACTACATAAAGCTGAAGATTCTTTACCAGTTAATCGGGCAATAATTGAAAGAGAGAAACAACGGGTAATTTAAAAATTTTAATAATTGACTAATTTTTGAACTACAGTTTCCCTTTTATTTTACAAGTGATTTGTGATAAAATAATGATTTTAACTTCCTTATCCAATCATTTGGTCGTTCTCATAACATCGCCTTGTTTTTTTTTTCTTCATGAACTTAGTTTTCTACACTTCAGCATTACTGTCCTATACTTTTTTAAATAAAAGATCCTTTATTGCTTAGCAAAAAATAGTGACTGAAGTACTTTGACCTACGGTCATATAAAATCCTACGTGTTTGATTTTAAAGTGTTTTGAGTTTTAGGTGGTTCAAGAAACTACGCCGCGAAGAAAAGATCATATTGAAGAGGTAAAGACTAGAGAAATTTGGACTTATCCTGACGGGTGGCATTCTCGTGACCGACAGCCTTCACAGCCACTAACTCCAACGAAATCGTCAACTCGACGAAATGAGAGCTACTCAGAAGAGGACCTCTCTTCGTATGGTCGAAGTACAGTGAGAACAAGGACTCAAGATGTATCAGAACCAGGGTTTGAAAAGCGTGACCGTAGTCAGCCATCGCGAACGACGGAAGAAGTTGAGTGGGGAATTAACGTTAATACAACAGACACGTGGGATTCACGGCACATCGGGACTTCGTATTCGACAGCCTCGACATTAGAAAAGAATAAAGACGTTGGTGAGAAGGTAAATTTTAGGATTTCAACCACGTTTACCGCCAATGAGTAAAAGGTTTGATAAGAAAGTAAATATAGTAGAATAATCTGCTGTTTTTAATTCTATCATCGATCTACAGGCTGTTAAACCTGTATGACACAAATTAAAATGCTGGGTTTGGTTTGATTTGATTGAGTTTTTCTACTATTTGGTATTATCTTAATGAGTCGCCACTTGTGCTTGAAATTTATGCTTAGGAGTAATTTTCAATCTTAAAGGTTCTAGCGTCGGTTTTATTTGAAAAGACTTCTTAGAGCAAGGGTAGATAAATATTAGTTCTGGGCTTTTCTTGGACAAACAAAGCTAGTAAAGTTTCGGCATTCTTTCTTTGATGTAACAAATGAAAAAAAGACGGAGTATTATTGGTGTTTCAAAAAAGAAAAGTAAAGTTCTTGAAGTGTTATAATATAATTAACTGGTAAAAAAAGTCTATCTGAATCTGATTTAATTAATTGCACTTGAACCCTTTTGAACATTTTTAATTTGATCAATCAGAAGAACGCTGGTTAGAAAAACAATGTTTTACTTTCCTAATTTTATTGGATGAAGTTTAACTGATGAAAAAAGTTAATTTTTAGCTTGAAGAAAGTAAAACTTCGAGGTGGACAGAAAAAACCGGATGGGAAGAGAATAAATCTGTAAGTTTGTACATGAAAATCTGTTTTTCTTGTTTGTAAAATGTCTTTGATAATCTTCTGGGCCATTGCAAATAGACGCTCTCGGAAGAACTCTAGCGTTTGTTTAGGAGACTAACTGTTTCCCGATGTTGTTGTAACCGTCTTAGACTTTTTTTAGATATGTTACTCTTTTAGCTTTCTTTTGAAATTTTTTTACCTTCTTCGTCCCTAAGAATAATTCCAGAGTTTAGAAAGAAATGATATAGATGACTTGTTCATTTAAATATTCAGTTTTTTAAGCACTTTATCGTTTATATGATACTTGTAGTTGTTAGACTATTGGTAAAGGTGAAGTAGTAATGGATTTTTGATTTAGGCAAGTATAATACGTTTAGTCTAACATAAGTGTTAGTTTATAAAACTTTCTCAAAATTTCAGCAAGAATTGGTGCCAAAATATGAACAAAAAGACAAAGACCTTTCTTCTGGGTACAGCAGTCGCACGGAGTCGCGAACTTCGAGGCGAGAACCCGAAGTAAGCTTCCTTTTCTAAACCAGATACGTTCTACCGCATTGCTTTATTTTGCTCATTACTTGTTACTGGATAAGATGTTGACTGTTTTTTCTCTTGGCGCCCAATGAGGGGTGTTTGAAAGGGCGGAAAGATACTGTTGTCAGCCACCAATCAAAATCGTATTCAAGAGGTGGCCAGGACGAATTTTACAGAAGAAAATGAGGCTTGGAGTATTTCCTTAGAAATTTTTTTTCTAAACTAGCGTGAACAGATCCGAATATTTGTTCTGGCGTTTCCGCAAGCGTTCTGATTCGCTTCTTCTGTAAAGAGAGTCTACTAATTTTTAAAAAATATGACAGATTATAATGACCAGTTGCTGAGCAACAATTTAAAAAACCTTAGTCTTGGAAAATAATGAGAGTCAAAAGAACGTGAAGCGATGGAAAGAACTTTTTCACACTATCGCAAAATTTGTCATTTTTGGTTTAGAACAGCTAATTGACAAGGTATAAACTGCCAAGTGTCGTAAATTAGTATCTCATCCAATGATGGATATTTTACTTCTAGTTTTTTCACTGCTTGTTTAACTGCTTTATCTACAGTCACTTAAAAATTTAAAATATGAAATAAACAGCAGGAAAAATTCAGTACTAGTGCTAAATTGGATATTCTTCTAATTTTGATAATAGTTACCTTCTGAAGTTGATGTGTATTAGTTAGTACCTTAAAAATCTGTGAAGGTCTTCAATTTTTACCTTAAGAATGGTAAAACTTTTCTACTTTTTAGGTGTTTTTTTACAAGAAGGTAAAGGGAACACTCTACTCTTGATTCTTCCACTCTCCCTCTCGCTTTCTGACAATCTTTTTCGCCTTGCTTGAAAGTTATACTCAGTTTCAAAGAACTCGCTTGTCTATCCTAAGCATTCTCAATAATAAATTATACGCTGAAACAACAACTTAAACTTCCAGTATAACCTTTTTATAATTGTTTTATAGAAAGCTACAGCAGCTGAAGGTGCCTGCTCCTCAATAGTTTTTCATCGACAACCTACTTTTTTTTTTTGTTTTTTAAGGGCTCTCGTTTACGTTTTATTTGCCCGTGGCAATTCGAAACTTGTCTGTGTATTTCTTTTTGAGTTTTCAAGAATCAGTTGCTTGAATGTTGTTTTAATTCTCACTCCGTCTCGTAAGGGTTCATGGCATGTGATGTGGTAGATGAGTGTTTAGTCTTGTAAATAATGCCTTAAAAATTTAGGAGGTTTAAAGATAAGTCTGCGCAAATTCCTAGTTTTTCCCTAATCGTCAAATTGATTTTCGAAGCATTTTTTTAGACCAATTAAATTTAATTGCTAGTGTTTTATGGTAACTCTGAGAAGTGGCTAAAACTTTACGTAGCGTACCGAAACAGGAAAGAGGAAGGAAATAAAACTACTTTCAAAATTTTCATTAATTATTACATTTTTTAAAAGAGTAATCAATTCAGATTGATATGCAGCTTCTTCATGTTATTTCTTTAGTTCTTTTCGCTTATGTCTTTAGCGTCTTAAAATTTGAAAACGAAAGCGTCTGTTATCATCCAATTCAAAACATTTTTGCAGACGACGTTGCGAGGTCGACAATGCCTTGGTTCTAAACAAAAACTGAGTCAAAGTAATGTAAAGCAAGATAAAGATATAGAACTCTGCACCTTTATGAATATGCCTTTAAGACTGGACGGCATTGCGGAAGCTGGATTTTCTGCACTGTCTTCGTAGTTATACTTATAGTGGTCTGCAAAATCAGCGTAGAAAGTTTTTCAAAATGAATCTCCGTTTTCTTTCATTTGGCTCTGACTGAGGTTAGCTGAATGACTTTTGTCTCTGTCTTTGACTGTTTGAAGGTTTCACTTTCTAGATCAGAATAAGGTAGGGGGGGTTGCGGGGTTTTGCAGAATATGGGCAGAAAAACAGTTTCTTCTGAACGTCGCCATTGCGCATATCTTTTTGTTTGGTCATATGTTGTACAATCGCTTGAAGTATTTCATGTCCATCTCACCCTTTTTCTGCAATAGCTGAATATGCGTGACCGGGTTTTAAGAATAGTTTGATGGGTCTTGCTGTAAACCCTGTAGAGTATTTGGCCATTAGTTAACAGTGTTTATTTCATTGTTCGCTATTTAATAGGGCTAATGACAGATTTCAACTGGTTAATGCTTATGAATAACGGTTAGTACGCCATACGCCAAATTGCACAATTTCTGTTTGATACTCTAGGGTTTTTCAAATTTTTTTACAAGTTGTAGGCCAATTACTAGTTTAAGGAACCGAAGAGAGCGTGGAAGAGATAAGAAATCTTCAATACCCCAAACTGTTGTCTTCTGCCAGGTTACATAGATGTTGCAAGTTGCGCTACATTTACTTTGAGGTCATGCATTTTTATAATTTGCAGATGTAGTTTAGCAGTTTAAGGTTGTTATTACAGCATGTATCTGGCAAATTCCAGAAAATATGCTCTTTTTACGTCACCAATGAATAAAGTTTGAAAGCGAGTGCAAAACGGACATTTTAGTTTTTTTTTT